ACACACACACACACACACACACACACATTGCATATACTGCCTTCTCCTTCCTCCAGTCTTTCAGCTGCACGTGTCGTCACTCCCTTGTACCCATTATTTCCCTGGAAGGACTGAGGAGTGATTGGGATCCTGAAGACCAAAAATGCCATGGTTGTAAAGGAGTGGAAGCCCAGAGACTGGGTACTGGAGAGACAACTTTCAGGAGTCTGGGTAGGAAATGAGGACTGTACACAATGGCTGGGCTCATGGAGGGTGACAAGTCAGGCCCAGAAGCTTTGCTGATGGACAGCACATTGGTTGAGGGAGATGGAACGACACTGCCTACATTTTTGTCATAAGTGACTGGGTGGACAGAGCTATTTGCTGAGATGAGAAAGCTGGGAAGAAGGCTTGGCAGGAGGAAGGCATCTTTGAGCAAAGGTCTCAAGGTGAGGTGTCTGCTACGCATCTAAGAAGAAATGCAGAGGACATAATTTTATGTATTTTTTATTTTATAAACTGCCTTCATCACATTTTCATCACTGAGACACAATACTGACACTCACCACTTAAAGGAGGAGAGGGTCATTGTGGCTCTCAGTTACAGTCTGTGGTTGGCTGGCTCCAGGCAGGAAACAGAATGGCAAAGAGTCCCGGCGAAGGAAAAGGTGCTCACATCATGGTGACCAGGAAGCAATGAGAGAACCGAGGAGCTCGGCAGGAAGACAAACCCTTCCACGTTACACCCCAGTGACCCAACTCTTCTGACCAGACCCCACCTCCCAACAGCAAGTCAGCCACAAACTCCAAGATCTGATCAACTTCCAAGAGCCCCACCTGAGCACATGAGGTTCTTCAACATTTTCAGTCCAAATCATAAAATAAATACATGTATGTTTATATTTATAACATATGTTTATAATATAATTTTATATTATATTTATGTATTTGTATTTTATAAAAAGTGGAAAGCATGAAGTACATAGATCCAGGAATAACTGTACACCATAACCTATTTTGTGCCCTCGAGCTGGAGAAGATAGACATTTCAGTTAAATGAAGTCAACTGAGCCTAAAATGCTCCAGTTGCTCAACGGGCAAGTTGAGACTTGGAAAGACCAAGAAGTTGGCTCAGAGTAGCTAGGTTAAGTATCAGATTCAAATGAAGTTAATTTATTCCTACTGAATATTTTTAGGTCCCTACCATGGGTCAGACACTGTGAGCTAAAAGGTTCTAGCATCAAAGAAATAACTGGAACAGAATAAATGCTGATTAAGTGTTATTGTTATTGTTCATATCTGAGAAGCTAATCATCTAGTGGAGAAGACAAAAGAGACAAAAGCACAATTGTGGGAATCTTTGGAAAGGTAACCTTGGCGATTACGCAGGGTGTTGCTGCAATAGCAACAGAGGCTGCCCTGCCCCAGGCAGGTGACCTCAGAGCCTCTCACCTTCCTACCTTCTTTCCCATCACTGTGTACATAATTAGGCCAAGGGCACAAGCTGTGCCATGCAAAGGCAATGCTGTCACTCAGTTATATGACTCCCAGATGGGATTTCATACACGGTGACACTGCTGTGTAGAACAAGCCCCCACACCACCAGGAGGGTGAAGACCAGGCTATGTCAGGATCCTGTTCTCCTTTAGGACTTTGTAGCATTCTCTCCACTGGTTCTGGGATCTGCGTGACTCTGACATGTTGGTAGAGAAGTCTGTGTACTGACCAAACAAGCAGAGTGGGCCCTGTGCTGCGCATAGCTGTGTCTGTACAGAAAAGAAACCATAAAACATGTACGTGAACTTAACAGGAATGAGATATGTGTGCTGGAGGGACTGTTCTGAGTGCTTTGGACACATCACATGAGACCAGTAAAATCATTACCTGATCTAACACAAGGGGAGACCAGGTCATCCAGTGCCACAAGTGGTAGAGCTTGGATGGGAAGCAGGCACTGTGACCTCACAGCCTGCACACTGGACCATTGTGTTATGCTAAATAGACTCTTCAGCAAGAAGCACATGGCTTTGTGTCAACTCTGCACAGAAGCATTTACAGCCAGGTCATGCCACCATGCTCCTCTCCCCGCACCCCGACCAACACTGCCAATCAAGCTGTCCCAGTTTACATAATCACTTCCTATTTCTCTGCACAGACCTGATTGACACAGTCCAGAAGTCTACATAAAAGAAGGGATTCTTCATAGGTACTGGGAGTCCTTTTCCATTTTGCTGCCAATTCTAAGCTGTTAAACTACCCACCAATCTGCTGATAAAATGCAGTAATGTGATTTATCTCCAACCATGGCAGAAACATTTCAACAAATTGGATTTACTTTATCTTCTAAAAAAAATGTTGTTTTGGGTTTTTAGTGATGTCCTTTTCACAACGTTGTCTTCATGATAAGTAGAGATGACTTTGAGAGAAAGGAGAGGACTTCATTCACACCCACTCTCCCATCTGATTCTGAGAAAGCTCTGTCTGCCCATGCTCTTGCTGGAGGCTTGGCCGAGCTCCCCCAGGGAACTCTGATGCTATTTTCTTCTTTTATTTCTATGCTAAACACTGGTTCTCTCCACCTCCCAGGAGAGGGATACAGAGACCAAGTAACTAAGCAGGTCGCCTCTTCTGTGCCAATTGCCCTTCAGGCCATGAGGCACAGAATGACCGGGGGTCTCCTGTCACTTATTCTTGCCTTCCCTGGCCCACCCCTCTCCCTCTGCAGCTCAGAACCTCACCCGCTTGCCTAAGTCCTCACCCTTCCTTGACAGCCAGTGGATCCCTGAATCACTGCACCCTGCCATCTGCACCCTCATTCTTTTCCCTGAGTGGTTCCCCAACCTCCTTCTCTTGGCTGCTCCTTGGCTACTTTCATGAGAAGCTTTATCTTCAGGGAAGGGTGCTCTCCTGGCAGCTCTACTTATATTTCAGGGAAAATTCTGTGGTTTTGTGCAGAGCTGTAAAAAGGTAGCACTGGGTGAAACTAGGGAGAGAGAGAGAGACACATTATTTTTCCACAGACTAGTTTGTGTGCTCTCAGACCAAGACTCTTCAATTCACATAAAAATCCCCTCTCTATAGACCCCAGGCCAAGTCAGCTCCGCCCCTTCTTTATCCCATTGATGCCTGATGATTCTGTTGCACTTGAGTTGACTTTTGAAGCCTGATTCCTGATGTCCTTTCTACCCCTGAAGCTGTCATCATCCCGGACAGTGTCATCATGCACTGGATGGATCAACCTGGTTCACTGACCCCTGCATGTGAGTGCACAGCCAAATCAAGGTTCCTTGTGCTCCTCTAAAGAAAAGTTAATTTTTTCCCCACATTAAGGATCCTCTCCCAAGCCAACATCTTGGACTGTCTTCATCTTGCACTCCAGGTGCTCTGTAGTGTAAAGTCCAGGACCATGTTCTTCCTGCAAGCTAGTCATTCTCCATCACTAAGCACAACCTTTATTCTTTTCCAGACCTTTCCTCCACATCACTTCTCTGTTCCTCCATTCATCATGACCTGGTCTTCTGTCATTTCCTCTGTTCATGCCCATCAAACATAGGGCCAATTATTTCAATGGATTTCTCCCTGCATCTCTACTCTCACTCTCCCTTGTTCTTCCACTGCATTCTCCAGGCCATGTTGCATGGTTTTAGGGGAAATTATATAAAATGTGGGGAACTGCGGGATGAGGAGAGTGGACAGGTTGAATGTGACTCAAATGTGTTATGTAACCATCTGCAGAAGCGAAGCCCTTTGTCTCTTCTAAAGGGAATGGCCCCACTCAGAACTTCTATAAATGAAGCCATTACCCTTTCCCCCAGATCTTTATTTATGGTTTATTATAGTGTTAGGCTTCTGAATCACTGTCAACAAATTCTAGGAGTCCAACACTTAGGCAATGAGCTAGGAGGTAACCTAGTACCAACCCTCCTCCTCAAACTGGTACATGCTGAGTTAATCCAATACATCTTCTCTGGAATTCAAGTTGTTAGATCCAGGGAAAGCAAGCAACTCATAAAAGACAATGAGACTAAAAACAGATTCTGAGAAATCTCACGGGAGATCAGTACCCTTGAGGAACCACAGGAGGCAAAAGCCAAATTGTAGGCAAAGGGAGGTGTGATGAAATGGAGACTCTAAATAATCCATTAATTCTTGTCTTTTTTTTTTTTTTTTTTT